CGTGGCCCTCCACAACAAGCGAGACGACTGCTGGATCATCATTCACGGTGCGTCTGAGCGTCACAGTGAGGCGGACCCCCGATTTGACTGGCGGTCGCAGGCAAGGCTTACGACGTCACGGACTTCTTGGATGGTGCGTTCGGTAACTCATGTATGCAGAAGGCTTGTCTGACGTTTACATAGACCACCCTGGTACGCATGATCAGTGTGCGGCTCTGGGCAGGCCGTTCTAATCCCCAGGGGTGCAGGCGGCAGCAAGATTATTCTCAAGTACGCGGGGAAGGATGCGACCGCCGAATACGAGCCCATACACCCACCCAATACCATCGACGCCAACTTGCCCTCCGAGAAGCAGTGAGTTGCTCGTCCACCACGTCCGACGCGAGATGCTAACGCTTACAGCCTCGGCCCTGTTGACCTTGACACGGTGGAGAAGGTGGAGATTCAGATAACGGACAAGGAGAAGGAGAGACAGGAACGCTTCAGTGCGCGCCCTCTCTTGAGCGAGATACTGAACCTCCATGACTTCGAGGTGGGTGCTATACAGTTCAAGTTCATGAAGTCTGTCGACCCTAACGCCACCCTTGTCAGTCTATCGCGAAACAGGTAATGCCAGAGAAGGCTTGGGCCTACTATTCATCTGCCGCAGATGACGAGAGTGAGATCGCTCAGAATGACTTCTCCCATTATAGCTGACCTGTGCCACCAGTCACGAATCGTGAGAACCACGCCGCCTACCACAGGTTCGCACTCAATATCACGGTCACATTGTAATCAGCTCATTTTTCCTGCTTTCAGAGTATGGTTCCGCCCGCGGATATTGCGCGATGTGACTGAGGTGGACTGGTCTACGACTATACTGGGACACAAGACCAGCATGCCCATATACATCGTGCGTACCTATACTGCAGCATCGTCCATATTGCTGACCGTGATCTCTCAGTCTGCCACCGCACTTGGCAAGCTTGGGCACCCGGACGGTGAATTGAACTTGACGCGTGCGGCTGCAAAGCACGACGTCATTCAGATGGTACGTCGCAGCCGAGACAGTCTAGACAGCACGCTCACGCGCTATCGCAGATCCCGACGCTTGCATCCTGCTCCTTTGACGAGATTATTGACGCGGCACAGCCGGGTCAAGTGCAGTTCTTCCAATTGTTCGTATTCGTGCACCGTCACCTTTTCGACTCGTGACTCAAACCATCACAGATACGTGAACAAGGACCGCAACATCACGAAACGCATCGTTCAGCATGCAGAACAGCGCGGCGTCAAGGGCCTCTTCATCACGGTCGATGCGCCTCAGCTCGGCAGGCGAGAGAAAGACATGCGCATGAAGTTCGAAGCAGACGACCCGAAGATCGTTACCGAGAACGAGAAGGTTGACCGTTCGCAAGGAGCGGCTAGAGCTATCAGCGTATGTATTACTCACCTGCGATCGCCTTCGTCCTGCTGACCTCCCATATCAGTCCTTCATCGACCCCGGTCTCAGCTGGAAAGACATGAAGTGGTTTAAGAGCATCACCAAGAGTAGGTCGCTCCCATAGTGTACCCGACATTGGAGCTAACTGCCCGTCCGCAGTGCCTCTCATCCTGAAGGGTGTCCAGTGCTGGGAGGATGCGTTGATGGCGTATGACGCTGGGCTTCAGGGCGTCGTCCTCTCCAACCACGGTGGCCGGCAGCTCGACTTCTCGCGCTCCGGCCTCGAGGTTCTTGTCGAGGTCGTGGACAACCTCAAGGCGAAGCGCGGGCTGAAGTTCCCGAACGAGAAGTTCCAGCTCTTCGTCGACGGCGGCGTGAGGCGCGCGACGGACGTGCTGAAGGCGATTGCCTTGGGCGCCAATGCTGGTACGGCAGTTACTGTTGAATTCAACTAACAGGTGTACTGACCATAGGATGATAGTCGGCGTTGGCCGCCCATTCATCTACGCCTTCTCGACATACGGTGCGGAGGGTGTGGACAAAGCGCTGCAAATCCTTCACGTACGTTATCTCCTCGTGATACGGTTCTTTATCTGACCTTGTCGCAGGATGAGTTCGCGATGAACATGCGCCTGCTCGGCGCACCAACAATCAAGGACATCGTCCCCGAGATGGTTGATGCGCACAACATTCACTCCCACGTCGTCGCGGTTCCGGGTGACCGGTTGTACGACTCGAACTGTGAGTATTGGAACGCAGTTCAAGATAGAGCTCATACTGACCTGCATCGTGCAACAGACGAGAGCCTGCAGTATGCTAAGCTGCAGGAGGTGAAGGCGAAGATGTGAGGGTATACATGTTCAGTACAAACTATGTGTTGTGGATGTTCTGCAGGTACTCGAGCAATCTATCATTGGATGCTGTGGTGCTAGATACACGTCGTCAGGCTAGATGGGTAGCATCGGTACCCGACAGGCTACAGCTGAAGAAGTCGGATTGAGGCGAGGATTCATCACTATGTGATCCCTGTGATGCACTTCAGCGTGACATCACACTATCAACTTGTTTGCATCCAGTGCCACCATCTGGCAACACCAAAGTCGAGCGTATCTGTGCGCCTGGACCATACCGCCGAACAGAGCCGTCGATATATAAGATGGATAAAGCCCATCGCACCGCTCTGCGAGAGCGGAGCTCCACGCAGGCCAATCGTGACCTTCTGCGCACAGGATGGGCTCCGTCCATAGCAGCCGCCGAAAGCCTGCGAGGGATGGCGATAGATCTCCAGCAGTGCTCTCTCCATATCGATTCTGAACTTCACCAGCTTCAAGTGGAGGTTCGCCGACTTGAAGAGACAGTGCGACGGCTGCAAAGGCAAATGGTAGCCCTCTCCGAAGAGAAGACTTGCCTGGAAGACCAAGCCTCTCTGTGCCAAGCTATAACATCACCTATTCGTCGACTCCCAACCGAGATCATGGTCGACATCTTCACGCTGGTACTCGACAATCGGGGCTTAATCGGGGACGATCTCCACAGTCTCTCAACCACCTGCTGCGCCTGGCGCACCGTAGCACTGACTACGCCAAGGCTCTGGTCGACAATAAACATAGGTTCAGGCGGGTTCTTGCTTCATGACCAGCGTCGGATCGATGCCCTGGTTCGTGTCCAGTTGCAGCGGTCCGCCGACAGGCCTATAGATCTCGAGATCGTTGTCGACAATGGGTCGCATTACGAGGCCCTCGCCTCGTCTAGCGAGGCGTGGAGAAGTGTCTGCACGCAATCGCACCGCTGGAAAACTGTGGCCTTCCAGTTCCTTGGTTCTTGCAGCACCTTCTGGCGAAACCAGGCCCCACTTCCCCTGCCTATGCTGGAAACAATCAGGTTGACTGGTACCCCAGTCAGTCCACTCGTCGTCTTTTTAGACGCGCCGAAACTGCGCTTCTGCCACATCCGCCCTACGTTCAGTCCCCGTCCAGAGAATCTTGCGTGGCCCTCACAGTGGCGGAGCCTGTCTAGGCTGGCACTGCTTGGTGTTCCCGTCATGGATTGCATTTCGGCTCTCCGGTCTTATCAGTCGACACTGAAGACAATCAGCATCGACGTTGAAGAACCTGAATTCGCGGATGAGCAGAATTGGTCGTCTCTGGGATTTGTGGAGCTGCTTGCCCTAGAGGACCTGCGCGTCTCTGATAGCGCATGTCGCTACGTGTGCCCTCTTCTGGTGATACCGGCGGTTTGGGCTCTCGTCATCGATCACCTAGATGCAGACCTCAGCAGCTATAACGTCCTTCACATGGTTGACAGGTCGTCCGCCACGATCACCTACCTCTCAATAACCACGGGCAACGCTGCTGAAGGTGCTGTCCTCGACCTTCTCAGAGCGTTGCCTTCCATTACCCGGCTACATCTGGACGCTGAAAACAATCGCAGCGTTCTGACCGAGCGTTTCTTCCGCGGAATTACGCCTTCTGACGACAATACGGACTGTCCCCTCCCCAGTCTCCGTCATCTTTCGGCACTCGTCTCCTGCGCCCAGGACCCTGGTGATATCTCTCTCTCAGCGCTCATGTCTATATTCGACAACGTACGAAGGGAGGATCACGTCGTCGCTGGTCAGCTATATCCAGCTTTGGAGGAGCGCTCGCTGACACGGCGCCAAGGCGATGATCTTTTGTGCGTATTGTTCTTTGTCGCGAGGCCCGCTTTCGAGTGTTGATCATGTCTCAGCAAAGATCCCGACAGCGACGCTGAGGACGAAGAGTACATCCCAAGTAGCGTGCCCTCTGAGGATGATACGGATACAAACTACTCTACGGACGTATCTGAAAACGAGTAACAGTATGACTTTTTGTAGGGCGACGCTGTACCAAAACGAGTACTCGGTAATGTTTTGTCAGATTGTCGCCACCTCTTCATCTTGCTTTCCACCATGCCAGCGCCATGCATCGAGAATGAGCCTACAGAGTTCTCGGTGTGTCCAAGTCTTCGCCGGAATCATGATAACTATCGTCGTCAGAGTCATGTTCGCTGGGGACGTATTCTCCGTCTCCAACCTCACTGTCGGTGTCGGTGCTGCAGTAGACTTGTCAGACATTGGGAAAGAGGAGATACTCGTGCACAATAGATCGTTGCCCACACTGCGCGTTACCGAGCGCTTTATGAAAGCCGGGTACAGCTGTCCATTGAATATAATTCCTTCTTGCGCAGCTCCTGGAGCATCGGCAGTGTATCACCATATGACATATGCTGCTCGTCCGCCACGACCGAAACAAGGGTCGAGATACGTCGGACCGGGAGATTGGGGAGGGAGTACAGATTCTCGTTCGATGGTGCCAACGAGCGGAAGAACACCTCTGTCATGTAGAGGCGGTGAAGCTGGCCAGGTAGGCGTCAGAACGCGACCCGTCTATCGTTTGGCAACTATAGCTGGAAAACAAAGCCATAGCGGGCGATGGGTCTCAATAGGAAGCAGCAGAATGTGGTTGACACCCAAGCCTCCGAGAGTCCTAATTTCGAATCCGAGGGTGCTGAAAATGCTTGGGGACCTAACAGCACAGGTGATCTACATATTGTGGTATCGGATATGGTGTAACGGCCAACATTGCCGCCTCTCATGAGAATGAACGCGGCAGCTCGGGGTTCGATTCCCCGTATCCGAATTTTTTTCACCTCGGACGATGAGTTTTGCCACCAGACCTCTCTCTCTACCAGTTCTAGCAGACTAGCGCTGTTGACCAGTTCAATTCCGTGACTAAGTATAACGTCCACTAAGTATGCTACGAGCTTGTCCATCCCAGTGCCAACCAACAACAGATGCATGCGTGGTTCCGACATGTGTACAGTGCAAAATAATGATATATGGTCCAGTTCAGTCCAGAAGAACGCTTCCCGCCTTGTCCCAATCGAGGATTGCGTCTTGTTTCTCAGATTCTCCGGTCCGCGGCTGGCTTCTCTTTCGTCTTCCCGAGCCGTCACATGCAGGGCTTCACAGTTTTGTCGTTGGCTCCCTTTCATCTGGCTTGAATCGCAACCGCGCCAAGAGCACCGTCTTCGGAGGGTCACCGCTCCCGGACACCTTGCTCGCCGTCACACTTTGAAGTGGAGGGTCCTCATAGCTCGGGCCGGCTACCTCAGGTGCCGCATCGCATGTAAATGTTCCCCATGCCTGGCCTGGCTGCGGTACCGCATAGACATTGAAATGCGCCTGCCCGTCCGGATGTGCGTGACTGACGAAGAGGGCGTGATCCGCTGCATTGAGCGTACCTACGACTGGTAGGCAATACTTAGTAGCGCACGAATTCCCAGTACTGTATGTGTTCACATACCGAAGAACAGATCCTCCTTGCCGATGTGATGCTCCCGCCCATATGCACGCACGACAGCGTCCACATTGGCGATGAACCATCGCTTTGCTGCATCCGCCGAGAACAGATACCGGTACGTTGCTGCCTCTGTACATAGGTACGCCGCTTTGTGCCCTGACCGAAGTGGGTACGAATAGCGGCGCGCAACATTTTGCCTGGGATCCATTTCAGCATTTGGTACACAAGTTGTTCGCCCTTTGGTGTTGACGCATCGTTTGACCTCCGCAAACACTTGTGCATCACGAGCCAAAAGAGAACAGAGACACTCACGAGCTTGCCCCTCCTCCACGCCCCTTATATGTCAGGAAACCCACAATAGCGTCCAGCCCTCGCTGCGCAAGCCCTCGTTTTTCGACTTGTTGCATACCCACACGGTACACACCATACCCGTTCACACTCGGCAGCCCCCGCACTGTAGCATCGCTCGCTTGGTCTGGTGTAAATGCGTTGAAGAGGGTAACGAATCGCCCCGCAGGTTTCGATAGATACCCCACCGCGCCGACTTCCACCGACGTCGGTGTCCACAGCGGCAGGTTCACTGGAAAGAAGCGTCAGTTCAGCGCAATGTGAGCAGAGAAGCGCGAGAAGTATCCAACTTACACGAAGGATGATACTCATGACTGAGCAACAACCGGTAGCGCCGCTCGTTTTTGATCTCCGCCAGCATCTTCGTAGCCGGCGGCGGCGAGTCGTAACCCACATAATCCGCTCCACCTCCAACAGCGGTCTCTTGTCCACCCGCGGCCATCCCTGCCACCATCGGCCCCATGATACTGTCTGACATCCCCATGATCTCGCCCTCCCTTGTATCCTCATCCCGTATGAACAAGCTGGACGCCCGGCTGCTCGACGTGTAGAGGACCGGTTCCGGCATATGCATGGGTGGCCCCCGTAGCCCAGCCTCTCGTAGCAGCCCTTCATCGCTCGTCGATGAGGACGAAGAAATTGATACCGACTCCTCCATATGAGAGTGATATGGCGCCTCAGGCGAATCGCGGACGGCACCGGGCTGCGACGAGCCTGATCCAGAGGAATCCCTGCACTCCTTCGCCGTCGCATACGACGTTGAATCCGACTGCGAGGTTACCCCAGCAAGGCCGAGTCCACCAGGAGAGGTCCCCAGTGCAGCAGCCGCTCGTCGGGCATGAAGCGCGTCCGTCCCCGCAGGTGGTGTCCCCCAAAGCGCTGCAGCCTGGCCAGGAGGCAAGCCTACCGCATTCCCAGGAGGCGTCTTTGAGAGGTCTGGGATATCCAGCGCGCCCAGCGGTGTCGTCTCCAATTTTGGTGTGCGCGATCCCCCAGGCAGAGGTATAGGCGCCAAATCTGGGCTTGGCAATGTCTTAACCGCCTCCTCATTTGCTCGGATCTGCTCGGTAAAGGCGTCGGATGGCAGGACGTCCGCACCAGGCCCTGGTAGATCGCTTGCCTCCACCCACCCGGCTTGCTTGCGTAGCCGCTTCACATCCCGCACGACGCGACTGAACATCGGCCGGCGGAAAGGATCTTGCTCCCAGCACATCTGCAGAAGTACAAGAACGGCAGGACCCGCTGATGGGGGTATGACAAAACCAAGAGGACTGGCAGGACTTGTATGTCCAGTATGGTGTGCTGGAGTGGGCGGCGCAGTGGCAGTCGGCGTGGTGTGCGACGAGATAGTTCCACGCGCGGTAATGCCCGGCACCTGCGGTCTTGCATCGTTGGCTGAAAAGAGTCCATGTAAGTACTTATCTCATGTAATAGATGCACCCGCAAGCCAGGCTTACTCAGAATCGCCCACCGCACCGCCGCATCGTCCAGCTGTCCCCAAGGCAGCCGGCCAAAACCGAGCACCTCGACCGCAGTAATAGCATACGCATAGACGTCCTGATCAACAGTCAGCAATCCGAGCAACGTGTTGACAAAGCTTTCCTTCGCCAGTCACGCAGAACGAAGGAAATCTATGCTGACCGTCTCCGTCGTAATCCGCTCCGTGGTGCCAGAGAGAAGCTCCGGGGCCTGCCATCGCAGCGTTCCCTCTACACAAGAATGAATGGTCAGCAAAAGAAGATAATAAGTTGACCGGTCGCAGAAACTCGATGGGCCTGTAGATTGGAACTACCAACCGACTGCGATTTTGATTGAAGCAACCGAACCACTCACGTCTTAATCCGCCCAACCCACTGATCCTATACACCTCACTTCGCATTTCGCTTTGACCAAAGTCGGAAATCACTGCGTGGTGTTGATCGTCGACGAGAACGTTGGCGGCCTGACGTGGAAGGGCGATTAGCGCAGGTACGGGCGTGTATATAAGTGTATATGTACAAGGGGAATGGATCAGAGATGGACATAAAAAAGGCGTCGCCAATACTTAGCAAGCGGAGGGAAATATATACATAGCAAGCAGAAGGAAAGAGGGAGAACATATCTCGCATGCGGACAAAGGAGACACAAAAGACTCACTTTCAAATCCCCATGCAAAATTCCCTTCGAATGCAGATACTCCATTCCCTTGGCAATCTCGAGTAGATAGCGTAGCAGGTCCGCCGGATCATCATCTGCTTCAGGCGACGGCGGAGCTGTTGGATATGCATATCGACACTTTCCTGTCCTTGTCGAGTTCTCGACTTACCTTGTCCCGTCATCTCGCTCCCCGTAGGAGTCGTCGACGAGCTCGACGAGCTCGAACTCCCTTCCGCTGTCAATGCTGTCCCTCCTGTTGGACTTCTCTCCAACGATGCGCGTAACAAGCCCACACTCAGACTGTCTTGCCGCGCGGTTCCCGGTGTGCGCCGGTCTAGGCTCATCGTCCGCTGATGCGCCGAGCGCGCGTCAGCGCCGGCAGGCGTGCTGGCTTCAGTAGAAAGAGCGAAGCCACCAGCGTGAGCTATCGGCAAGACGATCAGATTCGAGATCTGGCAAAAGGCGAGCTGCTAACCTGTACCCGCCTCCATCACCGGCGATCCTGCGTGGTAAGTCGCGCCTTTTGCGTGTGGTAGTGTCGCACCGGGCAATCTTGGCGATCCCTGACCTGCGAGCCTAGGCGAGCCCGACCCTGCCAGCCTCGGCGAACCCACCAAGCCAGCTGCAATTCTCTGTTCAACCCGCTTCAAATACTCCACGAGTGTGCCGTTGGGGAGATAAGGGGAGACCTGAGAGGGATCGGTTACTTGTCCCATTTCGAGTCTGTTGCCAGTGGAGATGTCAAAACTTACCAAGAACCACATCCCACCCTCCACCGCACTGCTCGCGCCATAGAGCGGGAGCACGTTCCGATGGCGCAGTGTACGCCAAATGGCCGCTTCTCGAACGAAGAGCTTGCGGGGCGTAGTGGGGGCGAGAACCTGGAGAAAAAGTGTCAGCGAAGCCTGAGACGCTTGAGAACAGTCAGACGGCCGAGTGCTCCAGAATAAGCGGCGGATAGACGGTCATATGATTTAAGGATGAGGGTGTTTTAAAAGGAACTATTGTTCTGCGTTCGTATACCCAGGTGGCTTCATCTCTCGTCGGTGGGAAGACAGCACGTGGGCAGGGTAATCGGACGTGCCACAAAATCCAGCTAATCACCTTGATAGCTACTGCCCTCCCTTTCCATGTCCCCTTGTATACGTCGCTGAAGTACCCAACGCCGATCTTAATCTCTCGGTCAATTTCGTATCTGGGCAACTACTTGTCAGCAACGTCGACACAGATTATAGTGACTTGAGCAGCACGACAGCAAGCGTCGAGCGACGTTGAAAGCTTGTACAACATCGACACGGTACGGCGAAAGTTACGCCGGTGATAGCCTTGACGTCCACCACGCACCTGGTGATCGTCCAATCCGGTAGGTTCCATGGCTGTTGCATCGCGCTAGCCCCTGGCACAGGGCTGCCTTCGAGGCGCCGTGTTGGCGACAACGGACTGCTCACGGCTTGCGCATCTCGAGGCGCGCCGCCATGGGTAGTTCCGCCCCAGCCCCCGTACGCAGCTGCCGCCACCGCGCCATGCACCGCTCCCGGCCGACTCATCCGCCTCATGGCGTCGATGCCGCTCTCCATGAATTCGCGGTCGAGCATGTCGCGTGCGTCGTAGGGTGCGTCGGGGTAGAAGTCGGTCTCATCATAGGCATCGTCGCCTTCGTGATAAGCGTCATCTTCGTCAAGCGCGTTTGTGGGATCAGGCCACGCTGCATTCGTCTGTAGGTCTCCGCCAGACTCGGCGCTGCTTGCGGTGATGAAGGACTCGTCCGTGCTCTCGCCAGAGACCGTGCGTGAGCGATCGTCCGCCAGAGCGGCCTGCTTCGCCGTCAGCTCGCTTATAGGACGTTTGCCACA